TAATCATTGAATCAATATGTATAATTAGAGAGGGGTTTTGTGAAGATTGTAGTAATTTAATAATTGAATTTATGAGTCAATGGAAGTTAGACCATCATGAAAAACCTGGAACCACTAGATCGCCGTTTCATCCTAGTATGGGATGTATAATATAATTAATTTAAATGTAAATTCATTATTCTGAGTTCTCGATCAACAAATCTTTCAAACAAAAACTGAATTTCTTTCTTCAATTAATGGGGATGGAAGAATAGAACAGAAATAGTCCTATTCATCATACTGAAGTTGTGAAATAGTAGCTTAGTACATAAACGCATGACCAATAAGTCAGATACATTTCAGTCAAAATGATCTTAATTCAATTCAAGTTTCCAATTACTGAGTCAAGTTAGCTTGATAAAAAAAATAAGGACTGAGGCCGAGATGTAATCTAATGTGATTAATGATAAAATAATTCAAAAAAAAGTAATAATAACTTCGGTTGTGCGGAATATCTACGAATAACAAATTTAAGTCACAATTCAGAGCCAATAAAACTCACGACGTATTATCCCATTGAGAGTTAATAATAGTTTATAGGTTAACAAGACTGAACTGTGGTAAGAGAAACTTTGTATTATTTTGGTATGTATATCATTCTTAAAGTAGTTCATGAAAGTATCCTCAATTGTTAGGTTTCCTACCTATATATGTAGTATACTCACGCAGAATATTTTCAAGAATTCGCCATTAATCTTAACTGAAATCAACCACTCGTTATTTATACCGCATATTCCCAATCCAACCATGTATAGTTCTCTTGGCCGTTCGAGTTCCAGTCCTTCGATCTTAATTTTAAGGAGAAACTTATTCGAATTCTACGAGGAGTATTCACATTGAGGGTTTTCATTGGTTCTGTGGAGTCTATTCTCCAATATACTAATTCTTATTGGAATGGTAACAGATGGATGATCTGGTTTAAACAAAATATATCAGTAACTATTCATCGTCATCGACGACTACAATTCACTATCCATCTATGAAACAAGCAATAAGACAGATACTCAAGAGTATAGATCACTAAAATATCTTACGTAGGTAGCACTTACAATGTCAGTTTGAAAGTTCTTTATTAGTTTCAGAAAGCCAGTCATGATATGTGGATTACACAAAAGCAATACTCCGTGAAAAACTAAAACACAAATCCTGCTCCTAAGACATCATTTTCCGTCTATCACAAATTAGAACGATGATCTTGAAACTGTGTAATCGTTCCATTGATTTAGTTATGTAAAATACAGTAAGTGGTCCGTTGATGATGCACTACTTCGAGCCACATGTGACAAAGTTCTAAGGGATGTAATCAAGTGATAACTTCGGTTCATATTGATGTAATGATACAATGTCGTTTTTGTGATCAATGTTAACCAATTAGGAACTGAGTCAAACTGTGTGTGGAAGCGAGCGATACTATCTGGTTGCTGAAACTAAATCAAGTACAGACAGGTCTGAACTTGAAAACTATTGTTGAGAGATGCCGATTCCTTAAAAAAACACTAAATGATGGAATTAATTTTCTGGAATAATGGATCCAGTTTCATTCAAGTTGTTTTAGATGCAGACAAATGTATTCAGTGAATCTCAGTATGATTATAATTTTAAATTTAGTTTAATCTGATGTGAAAATCTACTTCTTAATTTGAATTTGAAAAAAAATAACAACTAGGCGTAGATGCTACGAAAACATGGTATCAAGAAATAGAGGATTACGATTTCAAAAAGGAAAATCAATTCCCTTGTGGTAAGCTTTCCTTGACTTACCTTGTCGATAATAAATTTGTGAATCATGATATATATAATCACGGATAAGGAAAATCGTCGTAGATTAGGCTGACCTAAACTAATACTACTGATATGATCGTAATATCACAGTGATAGATTCAGTAATTCAATACGATATTTTGATTCAACATTTTAACAGAGATAATTAACAGACATATACTTAATGCTGGGTCGGCAGTTACTTAGTTACATGGAATATACTATTCAAAATCTCTCTGGACGATTTTAGTCGCCTTGGTATCAAAAAGTTGTATCCAGTTACTAATCAAAATGCCTTCCGTTTTTATTTTATGAGTTAAATTCATGTTAATCATATTGCTGCCACAGGAAAATATTTTCCAAGTCAATCAGCTTATGTTAGTATTTTCAATGTGAAGGGAAGGAGAAATTCAGATAATTCGGGGTAATCAGTTGTTACTGCATAACGGATAAGTTACTTGGGTAGTAATCGACTGTTCCATAGCGAACTCATTAGTTGCAGAGAGCCTTAGTTATACTAACTTAGCTGGTCATTAAAAGAATACGAATAAGTAAAATGAAGATGGTGTACACATTTGAGTACCAGGCTTAGAAACAGAGATAAAATGAAAATACCATTCAGCTGTCTAAATGGGAGTGGGTCTTTCAGATCAAATAAGGAATGTTATTAAATCGGGTAAAAAGAATAGGCTCTAACAAGCAACACACTGGTTGCAAGTTGACTGCTAAAGTATAGGGACAGAAAAAGGCTCATTTTAGATCATAATAACAGTAACAAATCCTCTTATTTCTATTTGAACAGAAGACTTTAGATGATTTATGGGAATTATTAGCACGTCATAGAATACATGTGTACTACTTTTCCGTGCTACGATAGTTGTAGCTGTTTATCGAGTTAGTCATTCACATTCGGATTTATTGAGAAAGTACGGGTAGTAACTAAAAACATTAGTTAAATTCGAAATAGAGTTAACTTTAGTTTTTAGAAAGCTCCCAACTAAAGAAAATGATTTTCGAATTAGCGACGTTTGAATTTTGAGTGTTTTTCACACTCGTTACAATTAGTCTTGAAGCACTTCTTTTTAATGTTTCTGTTTAAAAAGGACATTTTACACAAGTAATATGGAAGTCGACTACAACAGCTGGATTTGGTAGAGCTTTGTCAAAAGATCGTCATAGTATTTATGTCGTTGGCAGATACGATCCACCTGGGAATTTTTCGGACGAATTTCTTGAAAATGTCCCACCTTTAATTAGTAAGTAGAAACTATCTTGATTTAAACAAAATCACTTTGACGTATACGAATAAAAAAGGTATGACCACTGGTCAGCAACTGACCAGTTGTGATTAATAGTCGTTTGATTTGTATTTGCTTTTAATGTCAATAATAAGGATAATTCAGATAATTTAAATATATCCCAAGTTTTGATCGTTATGTATATTAATTTATTCTTTTATAAATATTTAGTGAATCTGAGATCTGATTAAGTTTGGATCCACTAGTTCAGTTAGTAGATGATTTAGTCAATAATGTGAAGATAACTAGTTTGAATTTTTCCACAACTCACACGTTTTAAATGCTAATTATTACGCCTAGTAGGCTAAAGATGGAGTAAATTTTCTTCGTTTGAGTACTTGGTTTAATTGAAAATCAGTAAACAAGTTTGCACAACACTGAAATTGTTTGCTTGTCGGCTTAGTGATGAGGATATTAGACTTCCACCCGTAATTTTGAGAGCTCAGTAGTATAACAAACGCCATGAACCTTTAATTTTTTCGCTTGAACGTGTCACTACTACTATACAACACAGCGTTGTTACGTGGGCTTGGTAAAAGCTAACGAACACAAATATGATCGAAGATGTACAAAGTTTGGATTTTGTTGGATAATTATAAACAATTGGCAAAGAATACACGCTGATTTCGCTGGTCTAAACAGAAACTACTTGTTGTTGTGGATGCTTTCAAGAAGTGACTGGAAATACACGAAATGCCGAACACGACGTCAGAGAATACAAGAAGAAAATTGTTAGGAATGTTCGCTTGTTTCGGGATTCCAGAGCTTAGTAACTAACAATGGTACTGAGTTCATGTCATGGTTCTGCAGAGGAAATGGCACTACGCATCTACAATCTCCTCTGTACCATCTCCAGTTAAATGACCAAGTAGAAAAATTCGCGGATACGATAAAAAGGCTTCTAATTAAAGCGGAAGGGAAGAGTATTCCAGCATAAGTGGTCAGTTACTTCTTAATAGCTTACAGAGTTACACCCAATCCGGCAGTGCCAGAGGGGGAGTTCAGACAGTCTTTAATAGAATATTGCCACCCAGGAAGACAAATAAACCCACGAATGAGTATCGGACGGTCACATGCAGCTTCCAGGTGGGCGTAAGGGTACTTATCATTGGTATCAAAGTAATAGGGAACGGGGACCAGATGTTATAGAACGTCGGATTGGAAATGGACTGCACTTAGTTCGGAGAAGTGTTTGGACTTTTATAAGATATGTCAATCAAATTCAAAGGGAATAACGATTAGACAAAGTCGACTCCCGTTTTAACTGCTCGTGGATTCATCTCAAAAAAGCCGTAAAGAGAACGAAAGCAGATGTAAAATACGAAAGGCCAAGACAGTGCCAACTTCAAGAGTGACGGACAGCAAGAGGAAGGCGGCAACCAAATTTCAAGTGAACAGGAGCAGAAAGTCGTATACAAAAATGTGAGGACGGCCCCCAGTGAACTTCAGGAAGCTCTGGAAGAGCCGAAGACATTCCACCCAATCATCTTTTGGAATATTCTAGAATCTTGATGTGTACCTTTTCGACTGGATAAATGCTAAAAATCACTGCATGCGGGTTGGATGACTATAATGATGATTTCGTTTATACTAAAAACTACAAACACCCGAGTGTTTTGTACCACATTTGACACTGTTTGGAACAAGATTCCCTTCCGCTCGTCTTGTCTTCTAACTTGCGTTCGAGTCCTTAAATTGTACAAATTCTAGATGTAACACTATCCTTACGATGGACGAAATTTTTTTACTTAAAGACATTGAGAAATATAAGTTACGCTTGTTTCCTATGCTACTGTATGATTATTTGCAAGTTTTCACACGAGATAAACTGTGAATGTTTACTTCAAACACAAAATTTGTAACCATCGACCTTAACCTAAAAAGAAGAAAGAAAGCAACGACAATGTCCAACAAACGTTGAATAAAAACAAACTACAACATAACTTTATTCAGACAAGAAAAGAGATGAATCACTTTATCACTTTAACATAATGATATGACTGATATAAACAAAATTGTTGTTGAAATCATTATTTATTTATGAGAAATCATCCGAAAATAATATCAATAAAAAGCAAAATAAATACAACAGTGAATTATAAATACACCTCTGAGAGTTTCATTATTGTGTTAGGTTTCATGAAACTATGGCTAATTTAATGATGTTCCTTCATTGGGTTCTATGAAGAGTAAGAGAAAAAGAGGCATCAGCAGAATTTAAAAGTGAACAACCTGAATGCAAGGGTTATATAAATAAACAAGAGAAATTTTGTTTACGACTGTTTATTACCCTTCAGTACCTTTAAATTGTCAAAAATATCATTATTCCATTTAGGACAAGAAATTATCTTACACAAACTGTAAGATACACTAGAAACTATACATATGATGTAACTTGTTCAAAACGATTTAAGATTCATTACTTCAAAAAACTGACTGACGAGATAGTGAATCTTTATCGACCGAGATGGTTAAGATATGTGTGACGAATGCCCAAACATTGACTACCTTGATGGCTGGTGTAAGAATAGGTTGAAGGAAAGTTAAAGGTTGACCGAACTAAAATATAGTATCAGTCCATGAAAACCCTGAATATAGAACTGAGTCATGTAGGTAGGTCAAGACTACCTGATTGGGCTTCATGCAATTATCGTAGCCAATGACTAAAGACTTTGAGTGGCATGGCTCAAAAACATTCACCAAGGTGTAGGGCGCATTTAATCTTTGCTTTCTCTTACATCCTAAGTTTCTGAATTACCTTATAAATTTTTTTTGTTTTATTCCACCGATCTAAACTTTCTTCTTAGATCGTATCACTGACACTTAATCTTTTCCACTACAACTAATACTGTTACTACCGTTACAACTCTTGGATTTGCCTTGACTACTTTATCTCGCTGCATTGATGGGGTGTGGCAACTTGAACTGATGAGCACATGTGCCAGATTCCACGTTGAGTATGACCGATTTAAGATTAATAGGTTGATTATTGTATTATATATATATATATATATATATATATATATATATATATATATATATATATATATATATATATATATATATAACAGTCTGAGATTTGTAGATATTTTTGTACACGTACTTAATTTTCGACTGTTAATAATATAACCTTACACATTTTGATTGTAACAATCGGTGTTATGATTAGTTGTCAGACATGAGACTAAACCAATTACAGTCTATAATTCGAAAGTGAATAGCTGAGTTACATTAATTGATCATAGCATTAAACCATCCCACTCCTGAAAGTTAGGCAAGAGGAACATTGTTTAAATGTATATCATACTTATCAGGTTAGATATAAAGGCAATATCATAACTATTGAGACAAATTGAATTTGAATCTGTGACAAAACAATTACAAGTCCACTATTTATTCCACTGACCCACAGATCAAAAATATATTCAAGAGATACGAAAAATTTGGTTTACAACATCTTTTCGAATACAATATTCTTAACACCAATTTTTAGGTGCATCAAATCTGAGTTTACTTAAACTTAACAAGTAGTTATCAAATGTATAAACCAATAAATTTAAAAATAACTTTGCAAGATTTTTGCAAAACACTCACCATTACAACTAGTGTCCATATTGAAAAATTCAAGTGTTTCATCCTCGTCCTCCTCACCGAATGACACATACTCATCCTCTGATGATGAGAAGTTTGTATTCACTGCCTGAATAGAATTATCACATTCAGAATCTGTTACATTCAATGAATGTTTTCGAATGCGTTTACGTTTACTTGGTCCATTGTTTTTATCCCCAGCTGTATTCTTTGACTGGCTGGGACGTAAAACTAGTATGATGTCAGGAATTTTATCTTCTGGAAGTTTTTCAAATTCTGTATTGTTTATATTGCAATTTCGCAAATCTAACCTGAGTATAGTAATTTTATACACATTTGGATATACAATAAGGTTAGAAATCAGTGTTACATAAAAATTTCTGTATAACAAAACAATTTCATTTACTGCTTAACAAAATGAGTGCTGAAAATAATTCGAGCTAATATCCACCACTAGAACGATTATATGAGATTACGTCCAGTTTCCAGACTTAAGCTAATATTACAGTCAATCTGACAGCTGGAAATGGACCACTATATCAAAACCTGTTGTTCCTTCTCTCTTCAAATTAGATATAGCATTTATAACCTCACGAAGAGTTTGACAACTTGTATCAAGTTGTCAAACAGGTTGTTTGGAGGTAGTAGTTATTTTACAGACTAGCTGGAGGTCAGTTGAACTATCCTCTTAAGGGTTTCGCTCATTGGTCTAATCTTCTGGACTGAGTTAATAATGGCTCCATCTTCTTCCGAAACAGTCTAATAGCTGGCCTATTAATATGTTTTATTGATAAGTAGGTATGGTTGTCTAGTACTACTATCGCAGCTACCTTTTCCATCGCTTTTTATTTCGCTACCCGCCATCATTACACAAACATTTCTAGCTTACTTTTGGGTTGTCGTCGCTCTTCATCACTCTGAGTCTGTTGTGATGAGTTTTCAAGCACCTATCAAGTCAGTTAATGTCTTTCCTAATCTTTTGATTAAAGTTGTAAGTTGATGTCATCGTAGGTATTTACAGTTACTTGAATATCATTCCAAGTTCTGTGATTAATTAGGTGTTTATCTAATTCTTTACTATATGCACTCCTAACCCTTTTATCCTTCAACTGATATCTAAGGAGCCTTTCTGCTGTGAATTTCCTATGTCCAATAGAATGCATGGAAATGAGTGCTCTCACTAGGACATGGCTGAAATCCAAGTATGTGTTCAATAAAGAGAGATAGTCCTCTATACTGAAAGTTGTAAAAATGATTTCTACCTACTTTGAAAAAAGCTAACAGTTTCTGAATAACACTATTCATCAAAATCGAATCTTCATTAGCATCTTGACTACAGTAGGATCGGATCGATCAACTAATACACAGTCTTAAACATCACATCAGCGCATTTGATCATGGTACATTTAATCTTTTTTAAACTAAATTGTGATTAAAACACTCTATAGGGCTTTTAGGCAACCTTTTTAACTCAATAGGCTAAGTAATTTAAACATCTAGATAAAAACGTTAAAAGCATTATGACAAGTACACAATAATTATGAGGTGTTGATGACCAATATGAAACGGAATGGAAGAATAAAATCATATACCTTATTGACATGTAGTGTAGTGAAATTCGTATCAAAAAACAAGGTAATAAACTTGAAGTTGTCAAACTTACCCAAGTACTTTATCTCCAGGATGTAAAATACGGCCAAGATGTGATCTAGTATGAATTATACCACAATCCGATTCATTATCAAGCTGGACTAAACCTGTCTCGTTAGATGGATCTTTCATTACCCATACAGAAACTGGTGAGTGTTTTTGAGACAACTTTGCACCGACGGGGTATGAAGTACTTGATGTAGTGTATGATTTTTTGGAAGAATTCATTTGGCTAGAATCATCTCTTTGTTCTTCAATTTCAAGTACGACAAATGGTGAAAAGTGTTTTTGTGTTGTAATTGACATGAAGGGAGACGAGAAATAAGCCTTACTGTCTACATAACAAACTAAAAAAAGTAAATTACATACAAAAAACGGTTTTAAAATGAGACTAAACGAATGTAGTTAGGAGGATAAATATCAATTAGTTAATAGTTAATAAAATTTGTTTAGGGATTCAGAATATTTGGTAGGTATTATTTATCACCTTAAAGTCAAATGAACATTCGCCATGATGCCAAACCAAAATGAAGACACCGATTGTCGACCATCTATCCAAACAACTACTAAAAATCGAACTCCTTCTACTATTGGCAAAAAAAATCTGAATAGTTATGGACGCTGATTGATGTCAAAATTAACTGACATTTACGTACAATAAAATGTCAAAGAATGAAAAAATGACAATATAAAAATTAAAACCTCAAACATGGAGTAGCTTGTAATTAAAGAAAAAAAACAACTTACCTTGACAAGTTAAAGGATCGATTAAGTGAATGGCATCGGTAACTTTGCTGACAACACACAACTGACTGATACCACCCAACTTTTGTGACTGAGCTCGAGATAAGCAAACTATGTCATTCTTAGAAAAAAAAGTAGATGCGGAGATAGTTTTCAATAAAATAACGAAAGATTACAGAGGATTTAGAAAAACACCTAAACGTAAGTATGACTCATTTTAAAATATATTAGACTCTCACAGGCGATTCCTTCTTTAATGGCCTTAATAGGTTACTGGTAAAAGTCAAAGAATGAAACTTGAATACTGATAGCAGGTGATGACAAACGGTATCTAGATAATGACTGTATCAAAAATGTGGTTATATTTACTTTTTATTTATCTAAACAAATAAATATTGGTACAATGAGGCACCAAAATATATGCGCAAAACAAATCATTTGATTCGTGTCAGGGCTTGGATGCTGTCCGGGCGCCCAAACCGAAGCAGGAGTGAATCAGAAAATGCGATGATTGGCAGTCCCCTACACAAGGTTATATTTACAATAAGTATTGAAACTAAAAATTTTCCTATTATTATTTAGATTTAAAGATTTGTCAGTTACTTACATCATACAAAAAAAATAGAAATAGACACTCATACGCCAAATCAAGAAACCCGATTTCATTCATATTACTTATCTCTTCAGTATATCAAAACCCTGTTAAATGAATAAAGTTTCAAAAATTTAGTTCCAATAAGTAAGAGCACACGTAAAGACGGTATTAAGTGGGATATATAGATGAAAAGTCACCTGGTACTTAGTGAGTGCTTACCAACATGGAGACTACCGTAAGAGATAAATCAGCCATATATAAATAAAGTTGCTACTACACTCTTAACGGTAATAGTCCAGTTTTGAATAGAATAGTGTAAATTCAGTCTTAAACTACAGAAAATAATGAAATAAGGTTTATTAATGAAATAGTGATTATGTAGAGGATTTCAACAGTTTGCTTAAAACATAGGCCAATTTAAATGAACAATAGTAATTAATTAATTATTTATTTAAATGATCTCTATGATACACTTACTTTACAAACTGGTGCAATTTCCACAGAAAATGTGTATTTGTAATTGTAAGTATTATTGTTTACATCATGCGACTTTAAATGTTGTGCAGTTTGATAGCTGAAGATGAAAACGAACAGAATAATATAAATAAATAAGAGTTGATAGGACATTTGAGATATGTACCAGAATGAGAACAATACCTAACTCGTATGAAATAATCAGTCAAATCAAATGTTTAAGCGACCGAAAACGTGAACTGAAGTTTAAACTTATGATTTGGATGTTGTGAATTGATTTTTTTAATATCTGAGGGACTTTATGATCAGACTAATGAACAATATTCTTATTTGCACATAATTAAGAACCTCAAAAAACCAATTGTTTCTGTCATAAACAATGACTTTATTAGACTCGTATTTGGTCAAATATTTAATCGAATGAATTAGTGGAAAATTAAATCATGGATAGATAAATACATGGAATACATTTCAGAGAATTTAGAAAAATCACTTATCAATTAACTATATATATAATGAGGCTGACAAGTGCCATGTAGGACGCAATATAGGTTCAGTGTCCTAATGATTTTTTCTGTTTAGCTTTTGTTGACAACGTTCTTCATTACGGAATGGGGTTAACAACCCTATCCGCAACCCTCTTATATCCGGGATCGGTAATAATCCTAAAAGGGCTCCACGTGGACAACTCTTATATAACACCAAAGTCAGGATCTTCAATACAAACGACAAGACAGATCTATTGTACAAAGCTGGAACTTTGGAAATTACTACAACCAACATCAAAAAAGGACAAATGTCTATAAACATGCCTACTCAAGATACTTCATATCCGTTGGCCGGACACCGTTAGCAACAACCTGCTGTGGCACAGAACAAACCAGATTCCAATTGAAGAGGGAATTATAGAAAGAAGCTGGAGGTGGACAGAACACACATTGAGAGAATTATCAAACTGTATCACAAAGCACTCCCTTACTTGGAACCCTCAAGGCAAAAGGAAGAGGCAAACCGAAGGGCATTAAAAGAATAAATAGCACTGGAAAACAATTGGAAAAGGGATTCCAGAACAGAGAAGGTTGGAGATTGCTAATCGGTGGCCTATGCTCCACGAGGGTTATCGGACGTAAGTAATAAGTAAATTGAGAATATTTTTCAAACCTAATATTTACATGAAACCATGAAGAGTGTATACAGAAAATGCGGAAACGTTTAACATTCAAAAAATACAACATATGTATAATTGAGTGATCCGAAGGTTTAATGACGGATCAGAACCTTGGATAGCTAGAATGAACAAAATCAAGGTATCAAGAATCGAGTCACAAAATAATAACCATCGCATTCTAATTAAGTTAATTCTAGAAATTTCGAAGTTTCGATAGTGGTTAAAAACAGTTATTATTTAGGCTTTTTTAAGATGAGTGAAGAAAGCAATTCACCGGTTTCTAGACACTAATAATTCCTTAGTTTGTAACTAAATACACGCGGAAATTATGAAAATTGGCAAAAACTTGTATACCACGATACACTGATATTTTATGATAAACTATGTGTCCAGAACATATTTATAATAAATATCCATAGAGAAAACAGTTACTGCAATAGAAAAAAATATATTACATTGTATATTGAGTAGTGGGTGACATATCTTTTACATTTAATGAGATACATAACTTTTTAATTTCTAATGAAGTGACCCAGTGATTTTCGTTTCGAAAATTTTCTTCTTGGTATTGACAACTACTAAGAGACATTTTTATTAGAAATAGGGTAGTATACAAAAATGTTAATAAAAAACCAATAAAACAATCAGATTGGAATTCGAACATTGAATAAAGAAAATTTTATTACAGGAGATATGATTTAACCAGCTCGAATTATGACTGAATAGCATCTTGTATTAATCAAAGAAACTTTAAACCAAAACACGTGAGTTAGACCAAGAGCATGTGAACTTTCAGTCAATGCATATGCTATAATCACTATTTTATTAGTCCAGTAAAGAATTCTAAAATTTCTTGATAACCAAGCTGCAACTAAAATAGTGACCTGATAGGAAATTGATTCATTTTACTGAACTTTATTTTTGAAGTTCAGGAAAATTCTGATGGAATTTATTTGAGATAAGAGTATGTTTTAAGCCAGACGGTGTAGAGAAGAATATAAACCAATATCACATTAGGTAACGTTTTTAAGTATTACTGCCACTTTTAAATATTAAAATCCCAGAAAACTATTATATCTTCAGAAAAATAGATGAAAAATTCGATCTATAGGTAAAACAAAATGCAACAGAAAATCGATTAATCTATGTTATCAATGCTTCAGGAGTATGAGAAATAAACGGGATTGTTGACTGTATCAAAAAAGGAACGAAGCTCTAAAGACAAAGGATTGAAGTATATATAATCAGTGAATTTAAGAAATTAAAAATAAGATGGCAAAATTATCTACTTACCGGCAAGGAGAACGTTTGGAGAGAAAATTCACAAACGTGACTGCTTGTGAACGAGTGCTGAAAAAGAAGTCAATACCTCCTGAAAATTGTAAGAAGAAAACCAGGTATAAAAGGAAGAGAAATTATAGGCAAGTTGAAATATTCAGGGTATCCCTATAAAATTGGGGTCGTAAATATACCTAGACAATGTGAAATTCGCATATTGTAACCATACTACTTATGAGCACCCAGAATTGTTTCTTGTAGTTTGTTGATTAAACCGTAGATAAACTGACTGCTTTCTTATTGATTAATACATGTTCCAATGAGACAGCCCTATTGAATCGGTCATAAATGTGCCTGTCTGTGTTGAAAAGTGACTGTTGTTTCTGAATTTACTTCCTTGAATGTGAGTTTTAAGCTAATTACTGTCTATTGTAGAATCATTTATTACTTATATATTTTAAATACATAAATATTTACGAGAAGCCAAAATGGTCTTTTTACTTTATTTGACCTCTGGCGAACCTGACAGTTATTTAAGCAAACGTCAACAATACCACGACGAAATGGCCAGGATCATACATGCAGCTGGAGAAAGAAGAGAATTTCAACACAAACCATCGTGCAAACATTTATGCAAAGTAAATAGAACTACAATTAGTCAAGCTCAGAATACAGCTTGAAAAATGGATTAGGTTGCAGAAGCTACGAGATCAGTTTCTGACTCTCATGAGGTTCGTGTAATTAAAAGGTTTAATGAACCTATATATAACGTGTTTTAGAATTTATTAAGTCAAAACTTCAGAAGTTTGATGATAATCGAAAAACGTAATGGGCTTTTATGAAGGAATTTCAGAAAGATGTTAAGCAAATAACGAGCGATGACCTTAAATAACTCAATTATCTAGTTCATTTTTATACAGGACAAGCTAAAAAAGACAGAGAATTGTATCATAAAGAATAGCACCGAGAGATTTAGGTTAGCTAAGAAAATAATGAGGAAGCGATTCGGACATCCTATGATTGCTGGGTCTTTCACAAACTAAGTAATTGACGAACAACTAATTAAAATGAAAACTGATATCTTTGTGCAATCTGAAATAGATGTAAGCTTGTGAAATCAGGTATGAAAAAATCAAGTTAGGAATCCGATCTAAATGCTAATAGGATGTTAAAAACCATAGTTAAACTATTACCGTGGAATCTCTGAATTAAGTAGGCAGAGGTGGTGATACAGTGAGCCAATCAGAAGTACCTAAGTGGGGTCACTAGGTGACAGACAGAAATGACCTGAACGACAACCGCATATCACTGATTAAGAAATAGACTGATTTTCTAAGGGTTGGTAACGTATATGTATATATATATATATATATATATATATATATATATATATATATATATATATATATGTATATATCTGTTACAATTTCTCTTATTACGACTCAGCTACTCCTATTGCTTAGTAATCATGGACACTACTTCACTCGACAAGTCCCCAAATTAGAACACGATTGAACATGAACGAATTATATCCCAAATAAAAAGGTTGGATGGATACCATCGGATACTATCCATCACAACAGATGGCTATGAAATACACTTGACAAGGCAGGAAACCTAACTTTGAATGCAACTTGTCATGCAGTGAAATACAGTAACTTGCCGATGAACCTTGTATGACTCTTAATGTCAATATTTTTGTTTAATTGATTTGAACCACTGACATATTGGGTTGACATTCGAATTGTACTAAAACTACTAAATCTCAATTTACTAACTAACAACCTTAATACAGGATAGTGTGATTGAAAAATATTGAAATTACATTTAAAATAGAAATTAATAAACACGAACAATTGTAAACCTTATAATACCTAATAATACCTTACCAGTCACACAGTAAGTATAACAAATATATTTTCTAGGGGAGCTTTTCTAGTCAATTTGAGTATTCTTTTAATGTGGTTTCACAAGGAAAAGTCAATGTCGAAATCTATGATTATGAGAACTCAGACTAGTATAGGAATCAAACAATAATATTCAAGACCCGAATCACAAATACTTACCATCATATCAAAGTAAATAACTACCTACCTAAAACTTGCTTGATATTTGAACAAGTTTTATGTGCACCAGACCGAAGAATGACTTGTTCTAAATGCAATAGTGTTTTTTTATGATCGACCTAAAGGACGAAATATCGAGATTTAGAACATGTGAATTCATTGGAGAAATTTTACAATGAATCTTAAGTAAGGTGACCCGAAACGTATGTTAGTCTACTGACAATACTTATTTGCCAAAACTCTAGTACGGACAATGGAAAGAGAACCTGATTCATGACACAAGCAAGATGATTCCGTTGAGTGAATGGTGCTGGGTGCCTTTAACAATCTTAAAAATGAATTACCACATTAACAGCTAAGTAATTTACAAATTGTTTATCGATCCTTTTTTGCAGTCATCGTTTCCATCACACAAATGTATCGACTAGTTTAAAATAAGGACCAACGAACAAACCAGAAGCTAGAATACACGGAAAAGTATCGATACAGGAGTGATAAAACTAAGTGTCCGAGCTCATTTGCTAACCAGCATTGTAATGGAAACTTTTACTTGTAAGCAACAAAATTAGGAAGGTATTCAGAAGTTTAACCCGTGTTTACAATCTGAAAGCATGCGAAAGACATATTAAAAGTACTTAAAACGAATTCTATGAAAACATTTTTTAAAGGAACGATTGGTAGTATGACCATATAAGTAAAAACAAATGATCTTCTACCGGGTGAGACATAAAACCCCGACAGTCAGTTGATGGTAATTCAGTGGAACTGGCTTAACAAGTACGGGTTTGTTAAATGGGTTTTGAGCCATACTTATTGTTTCAGGATCAGAGACATAAAACAGCTGGTCAAGTTAAGATTAAGTCGATACCAAGGATCATCACTATAAGGTATATAAAACAAACGAACATCAGTTACTAATAACCATATAATTACCAACGAAATGTCTATTTATCGCTAAATTTCCTTCAAACAAAATGAAGCTTACTTTTTGACGAACTTGGACGCAGGCATTCCAAAAATCTTTGGCAGCGTTACGAGTACATGAGGTACATTGTTGAGTGTGAACTGTGAAATTGATTGGAATTTGCTGTTCAACACGATCACCTGTTTGTAATGTTCCCTGCACGGTTATCTAGAATATTCCCAAGACGTTAGATTTGAGGTTTAATATGTTTAAAAACCAATAAAATTTAGGGTTATTGAGGAAATATTTATTTGATACCGAATTTTCTCCAGAAATGAACATTCACTCTACATTTATACACATAATTCTAGTAATCGAAATACTTATGTAGTTATGTGTTAGTAAAGGATTGGTATTTTACGGTATTACCCAGAATATCCAAAACCCACTTTTTACCCACTTTGAGTGCTGTCATAGTACAGAATAATGGCAATCTGTAGTTTTGTGATAATAATACGATTAGTTTCTACACCATCTAATTTTTTAACAGAAACCCAAAAAATTCAGAAGTTTAAGGCTTTTAGATAGAATGTTGATATACAGTATGTAAACGAAAGTGTACTCTTAAACAGCGATCTCAATACTTTATCTACCTTCAAAGTAGATACACTAACGAATCTAAATAAAATATCTAGTAGTTCGACTTTTCAAGATATTCAGAGACGTAAGGGAAATAAAAAACAAAAAGAAGTGTTTCTGCTTAGCCCAAAATGCCCTGGTGTGGCCGAGAGTGGGATGGGCCCGCCCTCCCTCTCGAAATTCTCTCACACGGCCACGCGTACACAGCCTCTGCCAGGGAAGTCATACTCACTAACTTCTTGTGGCGGGGGTGTTGTTTACAAAGGTCTGGGAACTAGAGACTGTACCAACGTCATGGAATGAGTCGATAGTTGTCCCTACCTTTAAAAAGGATTCACGTCGTTCCTGTAACAACTATCGGGGGATAGGTCTAATCCCGATTGCGTCCAAAATATTGGCTTCCATCATACTTCGCACGTTGTTCAAAACCCGAGAAAGATTGACTCATGAGGAGCAGGCTGGTTTTCGTTCTGGTCCAAGATGTGTTAACAATATCTTCACCCTACGCTAAATGTTAGAACACCGCCATACTTTTCAAAGGCCAACAATCGTAGTGTTTCTTGACATCAGGGCTGCCTTCGATTCGTTGGACAGGACTGTTCTCTGGGATTGTCTATTGAAGAAGGGTGTGCCTGAGAAGTTTATTAAGATCTTAAAGGCCCTATATACAAACACCTCAGACAGAGTGAGGGCATACAACCAATCTCTCCATTGTTCCATTCGAGCAGTGGGGTTAGGCAGGGTTGCCCAATCTCACCATTCCTCTTCAACTTTGCCATCGATAACATTCTGGAAACAGCTCTGATGGATATAAGTAATGGCGGTGTGGATCTGTTGCCTGGAGAAAGACCTCTCGACCTTCAGTATGCAGATTATATTGTCTTACTGTGCGATAATGCCCAAGGCATGCAAACCACACTTAATCAGTTGGCAATCAGTGTCCGTAGGTATGGTATGTGCTTTGCACCTTCGAAGTGCAAAGTACTTCTACAAGACTGGCGGGATTCTAATCCTGTACTCACTCTGGATGGTGAGCAGATAGAAGTAGTCGAGAAGTTCGTGTATCTAGGGAGCTGCATAAGTGCTGATGGTGGTGTGAGTGATGAGATCAATCCACGTATAGTGAAAGCCAGAGCGGCTTATGTCAATCTGGGCCATCTTTGGTGTCTTCGTGATGTTAGTCTGGCTGTAAAAGGTCGGATCTACAACGCGTCGGTGAGAGCAGTTTTGCTCTATGCTTGTGAAACCTAGCCTCTCCGAGTCGGGGATGTTAGATGACTCTGTGTTCGATCATCGTTGTCTCCGAAAGACTGCTGACATCCAGTGGCAACACCATGTTAGTAATGCAGAGGTTCGGCATCGTGTGTTCGGGCACAGAGACGATAATCCAATTGGTGTCACCCTCTTGAAACACCAACTTCGGTGGCTTGGACATGTTCTCCGAATGTCGTCCCAGAGAATTCCACGTCGTGCATCAGTTGCCGACGCTGGGACTGGTTAGAAGAAGCGGAGAGGTGGCCAGTATATGACATGGTATCGTGGTATTAAATAAAAATGCAAAGGGCTGGCGTGTGTTGGTCCTTCACGACTCCCTGGCTGGGATCCTAGAGATGGTGCAACACAGTGGCTAGAGACGTTATCAGATAAGGCTCAGAATAGAAGCCAGTGGCGATCCTGCTGTAACCTTCTTTTACTTTCTTCGTAAAAAGTGGTTGTACCTTCCTTAACTGAAAGATTTTTTCTGGTTGTACCTTTCCGTTTCCCCCACTATTACTGTTATTATTACACTACCTTACACTAATCTGGTCGTTATCCTTTTTTTCTTTTACACTCCTTACCTTCCTTTTTTTCTCTTCGAATTCTCATTGTTTTGTGTGGCGCATATATATTTGGTGCCCTCTCGTACCAATATTTATGTGTTCAAATAAATAATTAATTAAATTTACTGATTACTAGCTACAGAAATTATCAACTGAGCAATTGTTGCTTGAACGGGAAGCCATAGATAAATATGAAACGAATACATTGAAGGTCAAATGGAAAAAGTTAACGCTGAATAAGTTAATGCCCAATGTTAGTGAATGACAATCACTTTAAATCAATATACAGACTTTGAAGATAATTTCGCCATATTACGTTGCATTCAGGAACACAATTAAGACAAATTCCATTTTCCGCCGTGATATATATTTATATATGTAACAGAATGTTTGTTTTTAGAGATGAATTTGTACCAATCGACTCTGCTTGTATTAAAAGTTATCTATGAACATAAGTACGAAGAGAGCAGACAAACAGAAAACTATCAAATGGACAGTATCTTTCTACATTCATTACTCAGAATACAGTGTCTGCAGTCAGCCATTAGTCTAGTCCACAATATATGCCCACGATAAGCAAACATGTGAATGAATTTGTACTACTAGAATGATGTAACACAGTTAATGATCTCGATTATTTAGACCATCACCTTAAATTCGTTAGTTTAGCAACAAACTGTTCAGACAAAAAGCAAAACAGATAAATTAGTACCTCTATAGATATTCTTCTACTATGAGGCTCCGTCCAGATAAACCTAGCATTCCGAACTTCCAAACCTTTCTTCAGTCCACGGATCTTCTTGATGCATAATGAAAGCAATTCTGGTGACTCTGGTTCGGCAGAAACCCAATTAGATGGTGGATTTAAATAACTAAAAGCAATAACAGAACGCATGTATCCTACCGTTCACATTTCGGACAAAAAGTCACAGTATTTTGACGGTCGATATGTTCAGCAATGTCTGCTTCACTGGATAGGCATGTGAAGCACATGTTTGCAGTATTAGAATAAATTTGAACGCCACATTTGCAGCAGAGACTATATTCAAGTAATTTCTAGTTTTCAACTTACATTAAAGATAAACCTTGATCAGCCATCTTTTACGAATGGATCTCGAGGTATAACACAAGTAAATATTTATTTAGTGGCTGAAAAGGAAACGGATTTAAAAATAAGAAATAGAGTTCATTAGCGAACTACAAGGTTGTGGAATAATTATTTAGTGGCATTTAGAACAAAACTGACCTGGTCAGAAAGATTAGCATAAGCTGACCATGCTAAATAACTACTAAATCTTGATAGACTGAACAGTCCTCCGTAACTTGACTGCCTAGTTTTCGTTTGTCCCTTACGAATGCCCGTGAATCGTACATGTTGTTAACTGCCTACTTGCTAATGTACAAAACGCAACAACATACATCCAAAGGGATATTCATGACTAAATTTAAAAACCCCTTGACTGAATAAGGAACTCATGTTCGAAATGCAGCGCTTGGTAGAAATCTAGCAATTTGACTGCTGTCGTACGCACATGATCACCTTGTTCGCTTGTTGGCTTACAAAATCAGTCATGGATAAATCGTCACAGATCTATCTGGAATTGATTTCCATTCTGGGCACTAGACAATACTTAGTAGGGGTAGCAATAACTCAAGTTTATTATTTAACGTTAGTGCAATTGTTCGAAAGTACTATTTCCTTAAAAATTGATGATACCTAACATCTATGAAAATTTACATCCAACAGAAAACAGAATTTACTGATGTTAATGTACAGTAGCTAGAAGTCTACCCGCATCCGAACACACGTGATGTCCTTCTTTTCAAATGTGTGAGACCTTGATAATCTTAATAACAGATTCGATTAACAACTATTATTTCTGGGATACAGAAAACGCTGTTTCTTAACGTCGACATCTCAGGTTTTAGTTATATAAAATATCGATTCTGATTGCGATGCAGCAATGAGACGCAGCTGTTCTTCTTTCACTCACATCATAATGTTATAGAAGGATTCTAGATCTTTGATACCACCCAGTCTGGTCACTTCTGTTCAGCATTCTAAGTGAATTTGAAAAAAGTCAAGAATTTGACGATGCCACATGTATGTAATGTTCCACTCCTCTGGTAATATATTGGCCTTCACTGAAGCCAGAATTAGCTATATGGGATTGACATAACGACGGACAGTACAAATCTATCAGTCGGAAGCGAATTGTCTGACCAAAAGTTCCACCACCACCTAGAAAGTGCGCCAATGCCATTGCCTGACACGGCAAACGGAGTAACGCTTTGCCACTAACCATCCTTAGAATTCGCTTAACCATTAAAATAAGTACCTACTCCCAATCATCTGGGCAAGTCCACGGCACAACTCTGAAATCAGCACGACAACTGACCAACGGTGACAAAAAAACAGTCAATGAAACACGTTTCACCGGTTGTTCATTGCAGACTGTGCGGCCGAATAAAGCGATGCCTTCACGCAACAAGGGTCGTCTGGAATTTTCGAAAGACATCTGCAGACGTGCAAATTCATTTTTGTTCGCATTTGTGCCATTAGAAAACCATTTATACTATTTTATGGAGGACCATGACACTTCATCATCGACGAGAATGAAGGGAGGGAAACCATCTAGATAGACAGAATAAAACCTGTTTTTTACAACGATTAACGGAAGTAAGAAAATACTATTTTAGGTTAACAACTTCCACTGTTCGATACAATAAAGCCAGAGAGCCACGAGAAACCAAGTAGTGATTATATATTCTCAACACGTCCAGAAAGGAAAGTTAAAAACATACACGCTATTTTCGTTTTGTCAATTAAAAAAGAACGAAATTAATACTGTGGAAAAAAGAATGCTCAGTCCATCCGGCAACGAACATGACCCCGGTAAACTATCTACTGATAGCCTATAAATTTTAGTAGCTTATGGTTGCATTTCTTTACACCAGATTCACACAATGCACAGTGAATATAACTCTGAAAAATTGTTCTTTCAATTGATTGCCATTTTTCCTCGCCTCTTAAACGGTAAACGGTACAATTGCCTATAGAAAAATAACGAAATATGGAAGCGAAGTGAAGATTATAATAATTCTGCATGAATGTATGAACGTTGCTGAAAATTCACATAAAACAGATGGGTATACGTTTATATACCGTGCGGCAGATAGAAAGTTCACTACACAGTGAGAAGTTAGATACCCTTCAGATAATTGTGATATAAGCAGTGTACACTAACACCAAAAAATTGAATTCTTTGTTTTTTTGGAAAAGTCATATATTTTAAAAATGTAAAAAGCGTGATATAGTATACAAAAATAAGATTAAAAAGTGAGTAGGCCATACCATTTCAAACGTACTGAACGTTCATGTGTTCTTAAAACTTCACGGTCCTACCAGAACGTATTGCTTTTTTCCTTTTGTTGGAAACTGGAAACATCTTTATGTGCCCACTGTGTTTTAATACTTTTACAATAACTTTTGTTCCGGTTTCCTACGATGTAATGAGAATGTCTGTGAAAAAAAGTTGCTTTTCAAGAATATGACTTTCAACAAATTGATGTTGAAATTTTGTTTAGTTTTCTTCTCATCGAGAACAGTGTTTAGATTCATTCACCAGGACATTCTACGCAGCCAATCTTGCGTTGACCTTCTCTTGTCGACCAGCGATGTCCACTCAAACGAAGGATAAGTTACCTGAGTTGGCCTCTTCCATGTGCATTAACAAATTCAGCTGCTCCTGTGGAGATAGCTATATAGGGCGTACTACCAGGCAACTTAACCAACGAATGAGTGAACATCTACCAACCTGGTACATAAAGGGCCAGAGAAAAACTATTCGCAGTTCTATATTGACACATCTTATTGATAGCGGTCATGCAGTAGATAAATCGGAATCATTTCGAGTTATCTATCGTATACCTCCATCATTTCCCGACGGAGTCCGTTCCCGTCTCCTATATATAGCTGAAGCCATTGGAATTCGTACATATAACCCCAATTTATGTATACAGAAGAAATACGTGACTCCCCTATCCCTTCCATGGCCAGTTATAACTTAACTAACAACTTTTTTTATAATTTTATTTTAAATTTTATTATTATCACTATTTATTTTATTCTGTGTTATCGTTAACCTTATTTCCACGTCCATTATTTGTTTGTAATTTTCCGCCTCTTTGTATTCTTCACTATCTAATTATTTACACACATCTTATTACGTAATGATTTTTAAGGTTTTGTGATTACTATTCCTAGTCTATTTACCCATGTTTGTTTGACCTTCTATTTCCAACGATTAACTATTGATAAGAGTTTTGTTATTGTAGTTTATTATTCTCACTATCATCTGTTCACCTGTCTTCGTACTATCAACTTGTACTTTTACCTATTATGTGTAGTGACTTATTCTATTTCATTGTGATTATTGACTCATATTGCCTTGATTGGTTTAAAAAATTTTCGTATAAATATTCATGTATATTAGAGTAAAGCCTGATGACGATCTAATTGAAAACAATTGTTCGCTTATATGTGTTGATCCGTTATACTTTGTAGAGCCATTAAATAACAAATAAAATCCTGCTAGTGAGATGGCTCAAATGAGATGGGAGTCAGTATAATGTAATGTACAAGAGGCTGTAAACAGCAGCATGAACCAGATCCATGACGTAAAATTCATCACTCCTCATTCGTTCTCCTTGACCGTGACCAAACTCTTGGGACATCGGTAATTTCATACACTGCATCCTAGTCCAAAACGTTTGTTCAAAATCCATAAAGATCAGCAGTTGCCGTAATGGCTGCCCTTCGAATGCCATGGTCGGTCAAAGAAGTTATATTATGAGTCTAAACGACGTAAATTCAGTTCAGATAGAAACATGGAAACTTGGTGAAGGCGTAAGAAAAATAAAAACTACAATAAAATACAAATATTACCAACTTAAATGGAATCGAAACGACTAACAAAATGTACAGACTGCAAGTGTATACATGGAGGGATTTTTATACACAAAGCATTCAAAATGGATCTTAAACCCTAAGTTTTGGGAAAAACGAAACTGCTGAGAATAGAAACCTTACATTCAGAGTAAGACAAAAGATTATTGCCACTGGAAAGTTATATATTAAAAGATCCCAGCGCATACATATTTATACGAATGGTGTCAACTTTTACAGTGTTTATTATTATTATTATTATTATTAATGGCTTTATTCAATATTATATTTTGGTACAATATAGAATTCTCAGCACGGGGTATTTCAACAAGTTACTTACTGAACAACGAACAAAAAAGGCAGTAGCGAATACATAAAGAAATATATAAAATAAAAATTTAAAAAAAAAACCAAAAGAAACTACAAACTTTTAAAATTAAAGACATGTTAAGAATGTAAGTTATTGACTAAGTTAATTCTAACAACCTGTTCGTCACAGAGTATATTTGCTAGGTAAGGTATTATAGAACTTTTATACTTTTCCTTGCGTGCAAGGATTTTAATGTAATTACGTCTCGTTCTACCAGAAGATATACAAGGAGAAAGATAAGAGTGAAGGGGATGGCTAGTATCTGATAAAATAACACCTGCCAGGAGTTTGCATGATTTTAAATGTCTGTCCACAACCATATTAATTATGACCTCGAAAGATTCACCACACGTCTTACTAACTGCCTTTAGCACTCTTCGCAATACAGCAAAGTCTTTTCTCAAAAGCCCGGGAAAGAATAATGGAGAACAGTAAAGAATAATAGGTAATATGCAAGAATTGACAAATTGTAAGAGAAAATGACGAGTAATTCCAAGAGCATGCAATCTCTTTATGTAGTAGGTCAGACGGAAAACCTTCTTTGATAACGATAAAACGTGGGAAGACCAAGACAGATCAGAGGAAAAGGTGACACCAAGATAATTGACCTTCGACACCGCGTTTATCAAAGAGTCTCCGATGGTACAAGCACTATGGGATCTCAAAATAGTGTTTATATTCCGTTCATGTCTCATACTAAAGTTAACAGCTTGACATTTAGACGGATTAAGTATGAGACCATTACCAACAGACCAACAATCAATACGAGACAAAAACTCATTCATTTCTATGGGATGTAAAGAGGAAGATATAGGCATACATACAGTGAGATCATCCGCGTACTTCACAAAAGTGTTTTCTGTGGAAGATGGCAGGTCATGCAGAAAAAAGGAGAATAGAAGAGGTGAAAGAACAGCTCCTTGTGGTACACCTTCATGAGACAGTAGAGACTCTGAACTCTTTCCTCCAAACACAATGTACTGTTCCCTTCCAGAGAGGTAGGAACATAGCCAGTTGGTTATCCAGCTGTCAGTGTTGACGCTGATTAACTTGTTAATTAAACGTTGTCTTGGTATAGAATCAAAAGCTGAAGTATAGTCCAGAAAAGCACATCGAACATACTTCTGACCCTTTTCTAAGTTGAACACTATGTTGTGATGCAGAACTGCAACAGCATCTAAAGTGCTTCTTTTGCGCCCGTATGCAAACTGGTATGGGTCAGTATGCTCTTTTATCGCAGGCTGAAGTGGAAGTATTAATAATTTTTCCATGGTTTTGAGGAAGGGTGAAGTTATTGCAATAGGTCTAAATTTTACATTCTTATCACCAAATCCTTTCTTGGGTACAGGAATTATCTTCATCTTTCTCCACATTTTCGGTATGAGATTAGATGAGAAGGATCTGTTAAATATAGTTGTGGACGGATGACACAGAACGTCAGCACATTTTTTAAAAAGGATGTTTGGGATACCATCAGGTCCCAAACATCGAAATGAATTAAGCGACTGGAGACA